GAGGTTGAAAAGTACAAATTGCAGACGCATTAGTATGCTACGCAAAACAGAGTATCAGTACAGAATGCGGTGTATGAGAATAGACAAAAGTTAGAGCAAGAAAGAGAAGAAAAAGAACAAAAAAAAGAAAAAAAAATGCAAAGAAAAGAAAAAGAAAAGATAAAAACATGAACAAAAAGAATGGAAAAGAGAATAAGAATAAAGCTCGCAAGGTTGAAAAACCGCAAAGGGCGGCCTTTGCAAAAGTTAGAGCCCAAAAAGTGAGGGTTAATACACGAGTGTACCTTAACCCTGAACTACGCAAGGCTTGATTCCCATGTTTAGGATACGTAGGCAACTTCATTCTGAAGTCCAGCCGTAAAACACTTCAAACCCGACTGTGTCCATGTGATGGTTCTGGTCCTCTTTGTCTTCTCTGTATCCGAGAATTTGGTTGTAATTGTCACTCTGAGGACTGGTTGCCATGTGCTGCGGCGCTAGTGAGGACTGGTTCCCATGTGCTGCGGTGCTATTCAGACTAGGGGCAACTTTCCGTTGCCATACAGTGCGCTGCGGTGCCATTCAAACAAGGGGCAACTTTCCGTTGCCATGCAGTGTCCTTCAAAAAAGGGGCAGTTTTCCTTCCGATCTGAGGTTGTACATCTCGAGAGTAAGTTCTGCGGTCGTTGAGCTGTGACCGTTTGCAAAAATAGTTTTTGAGAATTTTTACTGAGGTTGACCATTTTCTCGAGAATTGTTTCGTTTTCCAAAACTAGACCATTTTCTTGGACCCAAAGAAGGAAAATTTAGAGTGCTCATAGCCTGACTTGCATGATTTTCAAATCAAAAATCGCACAAGTATGTTAATCTAACTCTCATATTGGTCAAAATTGTTTTCATAGAAACCAAAACAAAAAATGGCCAAAATGATGAACTAGGGGCACGGTTGGGTCAAGCTTCCTGTCTTTCCCCCATCGCCAGCATACTTGCCAAGAAGGACACAACTGAAGTCAACAAAAAAGGGCTGAAAGCTCTATCACCCTCCAAGTAACAAAGTATCAAGCCAAGTGCGAAGCACGAATTGGAATGGATTAAAACACTCCACTCCCTCATCCGGAACATCGACTAAACGTCATCGGAGGAAATAGTTGTGAGCTAACAGTGTTGGGCATGAACCCACAACCTCTTGTTCATCCATCAACCACCCTAGAGAGGGACGAAAAATGAGAGATTGAAGAATAGAGAGATGTGTGATGAGCGAAAAAGTGAGAAAAAGGCTTTTAGAGAAAAAACGAGCCTGGGGGCCGAGTGATGTGAGAACCACAAATAAGAAAGGGTGGGAAACAATACCCGGAGAAACTGGCTCCTCGTGATCTGGGAAGTCCCTCGTTTTTATAACGCGTCTGTGTGTCGTGTCTTTTGTTTTGTTTGCCTTAACTCTTGCTTTGAGTCGGTTCCAAGCGTGTCTCCTTGTGTTTAGGTTGTTTACCTTTTGTTTTTCGTTATTGAGTCTTTTTCACTGTGTTCAGTCGTAGGCTCAATACCCGGTTGAAAACCCTTTTTCTCAAATCGTTTTGTGCTCAGAGTGCTGTGCCATTCTCCACATTTCTGTAAAACAGGTTTGGTTCTTTTGTAAAACCGCAGGGGTTCAACCCGGGTCACTTGAAAACAGTGAACATGTGGGTTCCGAATTGCATTTGAGTGTGTTTTAGCTTCTGTCGATTCTACCTTTGTATTCCGTCTTTTCAGATTTGGACTGTTTTCGCCGTGTGCAGAATGAACTAAGAATACTGTGTTATGGGCTATGAAGTTCAGGATGAGCAGTGTTCAGAATCAGTTATGAGCTGTGTGTGCTGTATGCAGATTAAACCAAGCACTGTGTTACGAGCCGAGTATTCAAAAATGAGTAGCGGTTTGTTTCAATCGTTTTACTGTTGGCCGATCCATTATCTGGTTATTACAATACAAGTGTTTGATTTTTCAGACAGGAGATCAGTCTCATTTACATTGAGGTGTAATATGATGCAATGCGATGCAGTGTATGAAATGTATCAACGTAACACTTTTTCAGCTAAAAAGTTTGTGTTATTTCATCCTCTTTTCAAGTACAAAGTTTTGGAGAAAACAAAAACCTGCCTGCGGCAGTACAAGGTACTCTAGTTACCAGCAAAAACAAAAGCAAAATAAGAAGAAGAAAAATAGCAAAATCTAGATCAATGTCAAATGGTCTCAGGCCTAGAGGTCCGTCCTCGTCCTCTAGCTACCAGCAAAAACGAAAAGCAAAATAAGAAGAAGAAAAATAGCAAAAATCTAGATCAATGTCAAATTGTCTCAGGCCTAGAGGTCCGTCCTCGTCCTCTTCCTGGACAAAGGTCCAGGAGCATCATCATCAGCGCCGTCATCTGAGCCCGAGTCAGTGCCATCTCCGGCCTCCTCCTCAGATGACTCTGCCTCTGCCTCCACCTCGAACTCGTCATCATCTGGAACTGGCCCCCAAGAGCTAGTCCCGACATGAGTGCGCCCCGCCTTGGTGCGGGCGTATACTCTGCCATCTCCTCCTCCTTGGGTAGGGACCAAAGGTCCGGCTGGAGCACCTCCTGCAGCAGGAATCAGAAATGGAGGTTGAAAAGTACAAATTGCAGACGCATTAGTGTGCTACGCAAAACAGAGTATCAGTACAGAATGCGGTGTATGAGTATAGACAAAAGTTAGAGGAAGAAAAAGAAGAAAAAGAACAAAAAAAAGAAAAAAAAAATGCAAAGAAAAGAAAAAGAAAAGATAAAAAAATGAACAAAAGGAATGGAAAAGAAAATAAGAATAAAGCTCGCAAGGTTGAAAACCCGCAAAGGGCGGCCTTTGCAAAAGTTAGAGCCCAAAAAGTGAGGGTTAATACACGAGTGTACCTTAACCCCGAACTATGCAAGGCTTGATTCCCATGTTTGGGATACGTAGGCAACTTCATTCTGAAGTCCAGCCGTAAAACACTTCAAACCCGACTGTGTCCATGTGATGGTTCTGGTCATCTTTGTCTTCTTTGTATCCGAGAATTTGGTTGTAATTGTCACTGTGAGGACTGGTTGCCATGTGCTGCAGCGCTAGTGAGGACTGGTTGCCATGTGCTGCGGCGCTATTCAGACTAGGGGCAACTTTCCGTTGCCATACAGTGCGCTACGGTGCCATTCAAATAAGGGGCAACTTTCCGTTGCCATACAGTGTCCTTCAAAAAAGGGACAGTTTTCCTTCCGATATGAGGTTGTACATCTCGAGAGTAAGGTCTGCACTCGTTGAGTTGTGACCGTTTGCAAAAATAGTTTTTGAGAATTTTTACTGAGGTTGACAATTTTCTCGAGAATTGTTTCATTTTCCAAAACTAGACCATTTTCTTGGACCCAAGGAAGGAAAATTTAGAGTGCTCATAGCCTGAGTTGCATGATTTTCAAATCAAAAATCGCCCAAGTATGTTAATCTAACTCTCATATTGGTCAAAATTGTTTTTGTAGAAACCAAAACAAAAAATGGTCAAAATGATGAACTAGGGACACGGTTGGGTCAAGCTTCCTGTCTTTCCCCCATCGCCAGTATAGTTGCCAAGAAGGACACAACTGAAGTCAACGACAAAGGGTTGAAAGCTCTCTCACCCTCCAATTAGCAAAGTATCAAGCCAAGTGCGAAGCACAAATTGGAATGGATTAAAACACTTCACTCTCTCATCCGGAACATCGACTAAACATCACCGGAGGAAATAGCTGTGAGCTAACAGTGTTGGGCATGAACCCACAACCTCTTGTTTATCCATCAACCACCCTGGAGAGGGACGAAAAATGAGAGATTGAAGAATAGAGAGATGTGCGCTAAAAGAAAAAGTGAGGAAAAGGCTTTTAGAGAAACAAATGAGCCTGAGGGCTGAGTGATGTGAGAACCACAAATAAGAAAGGGTGGGAAACAATACCCGGAGAAACTGGCTCCTCGTGATTTGGGAAGTCCCTCGTTATTTGGGAAGTCCCTCGTTTTTATAACGCGTGTGTGTGTCGTGTCTTTTGTTTTGTTTGCCTTAACTCTTGCTTTGAGTCAGTTCCAAGCGTGTCTCGTTGTGTTTAGGTTGTTTACCTTTTGTTTTTCATCATTAAGTCTTTTTCACTGTGTTAAGTCATAGGCTCAATACCCGGTTGAAAACCCTTTTTCTCAAATCATTTTGTGCTCAGAGTGCTGTGAAAACCCTTTTTCTCAAATCGTTTTGTGCTTAGAGTGCTGTGCCATTCTCCACATTTCTGTAAAACAGGTTTGGTTCTTTTGTAAAACCGTAGGGGTTCAACCCGGGTCACTTGAAAACAGTGAACATGTGGGTTCCGAATTGCATTTGAGTGTGTTTCAGCTTCTGCCGATTCTACCTTTGCATTCCGTCTTTTCAGATTTGGACTGATTTCGCCGTGTGCAGAATGAACTAAGAATACTGTGTTATGGGCTATGAAGTTCAGGATGAGCATTGTTCAGAATCAGTTATGAGCTGTGTGTGCTGTATGCAGATTAAACCAAGCACTGTGTTACGAGCCGAGTATTCAAAATGAGTAGCGGTTTGTTTCAATTGTTTTGTTGTTGGCCGATCCATTATCTGGTTATTACAATACGAGTGTTTGATTTTTCAGACAGGAGTTCAATCTCATTTACATTGAGGTGTAATATGATGCAACGCGATGCAGTGTATGAAATGTATCAATGTAACACTTTTTCAGATAAAAAGTTTGTGTTATTTCATCATCTTTTCAAGTACAAAGTTTTGGAGAAAACAAAAACCTGCCTGCGGCAGTACAAGGTACTCTAGCTACCAGCAAAAAGAAAAGCAAAATAAGAAGAAGAAAAATAGCAAAAATCTAGATCAATGTCAAATGGTCTCAGGCCTAGAGGTCCGTCCTCGTCCTCTTCCTGGACAAAGGTCCAGGAGCATCATCATCAGCGCCGTCATCTGAGCCCGAGTCAGTGCCATCTCCTGTCTCCTCCTCAGATGACTCTGCCTCCGCCTCCGCCTCGAACTCGTCATCATCTGGAACTAGCCCCCGAGAGCTACTCCCAACATGAGTGCGCCCCGCCTTGGTGCGGGCGTATACTCTACCATCTCCTCCTCCTCGGGTACGGACCAAAGGTCCGGCTGGAGCACCTCCTGCAGCGGGAATCAGAAATGGAGGTTGAAAAGTACAAATTGTAGACGCATTAGTATGCTACGCAAAACAGAGTATCAGTACAGAATGCGGTGTATGAGTATAGACTATGAATGCTATGAGCAGTATGACGGTACAGAATCCAGTGACTGAGTGCAGTGTATGAATGTCGTGAGTAATGCTGTGAACAGTCTGTGGGCTACAGTGTATCAGATGCCGTGAGTGCAGTGTATTGAGTGTTGTGTTAATAGGGCAATGCATCAGATTTTGTGAAATAGTTTATGTATGGTTTGAGACCGTGGTCAAAAGAGCATACCGGAATACTATACATGGCCAAAAGATTGAGGCTCTGCTAGAACATCCCCATCACCGAAGCAGTCAACTCTAGGGACTAGCGAGTGTAATTAGAGGAAGCCTGCAAAAGTCCTAGAAGTATCAGTATTCTGCGGAATATCCAACGAAATGAAATGAAATGACGGTGCAAAATGCAAAATGCAGTAGTACATACCGGAGGCAAGTCGTAGAAACCAACTAACTCATGATCAGCCGGAGGAGGAGCGATGGGGATTTGGTAAGTCGTCCCACCCCGCCCTCTGTATGTCATCGTCGTGGGCAGTGCTAGCCCACTAGCCCCCTATCCTCTCCGAGCTCCACTCCTGCCACAGACTCGAGCCATCCTCGATATCCCTGCCCCTGCTCCAGCCGCTGGCGCCGCCGGCCTCTCTCTCTCTCAGCTCGACGGCCACTGCTCAAAGGCCGCATGATATACGTACGGATGTACTCTGTGTAGTCGCCTATGCCTCTATAATGTATCAAATCCCAGCCGATCGTATAATCAGCCATCTGCTCGGGAGTGAACCTCTCGGTGTCCCTCATATGCTCAAGGGGCGGAGCTGGAACTATCTACTCTGACAAACCCAGGGCCTAGCGCAAAAAGCGCTCACCTAGGTACCAGGCCCAACAGACAGGGCCCTCTAATAGAAGCCTGAAGCGAGTAGTCTCCTCTGCACCAGCAAATCGCTCCCAAATCCCAACTGGCAATGGAGCCCAAGGCTGCCAGGTGATCTATAAATGGCGTGCAGTTTGTTATCTACTGTTATCAAAAAATACAGTGCAAAGTGAAGCTTAAATGAACTGCAAGTTCTAAACATACCTCTGCGGGGGTGATGGTGTCGAAATAGTGGCGGAAGAATATGAACGTCTCCTGTGGTCTCCACACACACCTCACATCGAAGCGTCGGGAGAATGGAACGACAAGAGGGGTCTCCTCGTCAGGCACTAGCGCGAGCCTCGGAAAGTAGGCGTAGACCCACAATTGCAGAGTAAGTATCAGTATGCCTATCAGATAAAGCGAAATGCAGAATAAAGCAGAAATCATAGAGCCGTGTATTGTGCAGTGTACGGTGCAGAGTGCACAGTTTGTGCAGTGTACGGTGTAGTGAAAAGCAGGGTATATGTGTGCCGTGTGTACAGTATACAGTTAGTGTGAAGCAGACCACAGTGTGTGCATTGTATAGAGTACAGGTAATGGAAAGCAGAAATGAAAAACAGAAGAAGCAAATGTACCTCCCAAGCTCGCCAGTAGCCCCCGAGCAACTGTCCGCTGCCACGGGAAGCTGAGCTCATGTATCCATAAAGCGTGGCCAAACCAGCGCCACCCCAGTCGTAGCGCAAGATCCTCATGACGTCCACAAGCGCACTCAACAAACAGGGGGGCATGGTATTCGCCCGGTCGGCGAAAATGGTCGTCCCCAGCAGAAACATGAGGAAGCCGTGGGCGTACTGCTCTACCTCCTCCTGAGCCATCAGTGCCTTCTCGGCCAAGGCCGGCTGAACCCTGAAGTGGCTCTCGAACCATGAATATCTAACTAATCCTAGGCGCGCAAGAGGCGGCATCTTGCCCAACAAGTAAATCTGAGCGGCCTCCCACTCATCCATGTCTGTGTCGAAGGGGATCAGATCACCCCCTACCCCGATACCGGTGAGCATCGAGCAGTCATAGGGAGTCATTGTCATATCTCCCGTGGCGGAAAAGTGGAAAGAATCGGTGGTGTCCCACCACCTCTCCACCAAAGCGGCCAGCAGAGGCCTGCTCGCGGTAAGTGTGGAAAGTCCCCTGCAGAAGGCGCCGAAACCGGCCTGGTCTACGATGTGCCGGACCGCATCTAGCAGCTCTATATACCAATCTCTGGCGACAATGTTCCCATACCCCCGGAAGGCATGGGAATCCCCCTGCATTCAAAAACAACGGTTACAAAGCAATATAAAATGTACAGGTTTGAAAAGCATTCAAAATTGGTGACAATACAGCGTGTGTGCACTTTCTTAAGGTCAAACAAACATCGGGTGCCGGTGTGCTTGCAATAAACTACTACATGTGACGTGTCAGCACGTTTGAGTGGTTCAGTATAGATACAATGTATGTGCACGTTTTCAAGTTCAAACAGTTATCGGGCGCTAGTGTGCTCGCAGTGAATTACAGTGTATGATGTGTCAGTGTGTTTGAGTGGTTCAGGGCAAATACAGTATGTGTGCGCGTGTTCCAATTCAAACAGATATCAAGTACAAGTGTGCTCACAGTCAACTACAGCATACAGTGTATCGGTGTATCCGAGCTAAGCAGTTAAAGAACAGAATCAACTATGGCAGTTAAGTGTTCTACATTGCGAAAAATAAAACGGGAAAGAATATACCTCGAAAGCGCCGTATGATAGATATGACTCTGGCTCACACAGGAGAAGCTCTGGAGGCACTGTCCTGTCAAAACTCCGAAACTGGCGAAGTCCGTCAAGACACAGTATGTGAATCGCCGGCCGGTAGGTCACCGGGTCGAACGGGCGGACGCTTAGAGGCAAGAACTCGGCCTCGAGATCCATCTCATGCTCCGGAGGAGTCCTGCCCTGTGGAAGATCATCTGCCATCTCAGAGAGAGTGTGAAAATGGCCAGAAATGTGGAAACCGGGCTAGAATGTGAAAAGTCAACAGAAAGTCAACCCCGAGAGGGCAAAAAATGGCCGAAAAAGCCGAAATGTGGAAAAGGCACGAAGATCAAGAGGAACTCGGTGGAAACAAACCCCAAGTGGTAGAAATCAAGAAAAAGACACCGAAACGAAGTTTCATTTGGTTCAAAACGTCTGAAACGACGAAGTATTCACGAATCGAACGACGAAAAAGTGTTGAAAACACAAGAAAACGGAGAAATGAAGGAAGGAAAATGATCTAGAGAGAGGGAGAGAGGGAGTTTTCGACCAAGAACAAGTGAAGAAAATAGGGCTAGAGGCCCTATTTTAAAAGACCCGAGGCCAAAAGACCAAACTGCCCCGATTCAGGCATGTTTGGCCGGTCGGCCAAATATTTGGCCGGTAGAATTTTCTGATGGCCGGCGGACAGCTGGTGACCTCCCCTGATGGCCGGTGAGCCTCCTAAAACCTTGTTTGGGTCAGAGGTGTGGTTTGGGGCCTTCATTGCTCAAGACAGTGCAAGAAAGTGCATTTCCGAAGCTCAACCGATCTCCGTTTCAACCTGAGACCGTGTCTTCTGTGCGTGGCACCTGAATACGGGTGCGGTGCATCCTTTTTTTGTCCTTTTGTCTCTTTCAAGATTCGAAAGTTGCCCCCACATGCATTGTCTTGCACTCGCATACCTTACTTGCATTGTATTGCATTTTAAATCGCCTTGGTCTGGTGAGACCTTAAACACGTACGGTCTGGCGAGACCTTAAACACGCTCGGTCTGGCGTGACCTTAAACACGCTCGGTCTGGCGAGACCTTAAATCCTCTAAAGATGCAAGACCTTTGGTTTTTGCATGCATACACACGTCGTAACAAGCACAACTTGCATTGATGTGCGCTGCTCACATGCATTATCATGCATCTCAAGCGACACGCATTGTCGCGCATTCGAGTCCACATGTATTATCATGCATCTCAAGCAACACGCGTTGTCGCGCATTCGAGTCCACATGCATTACCATGCATTTCAAGCGACACGCGTCGTCGCATATTCGAGTTCACATGCATTTCAAAAGCCACGCATTGTCGCGCATTCCAAGATCATTTGCATTGTCATGCATCTCAAAAGCTGCGCATTGTCGCGCGTTTCAAAATCATGCATCATCATGCATTTGCATTTCAAAAAAAAAAAAAAGAGAAAACAACAAAAACAACATGCATCATTTGCATTTCAAAAACAAAAACACAAAAAAATAAAAAACATGCATTATCATGGATTTTCCATTCATCATGCATTGTCATGCACTTAAAAAACAAAACAAAAAACAAACATGCATATGTCATGCATTTCACTGTAAATAGTGCATATGTCATGCATTTCACTGTAAATAGTGCATATGTCATGCGTCATTGTAAATAGTGCATATGTCGTGCTTCATTGTAAATAGTGCATATGCCATGCATACCACTGTAAATAGTGCATATGTCATGCATCACTGTAAATATTGCATATGTCATGTATTTTACTGTATATATTCCATTCCATCGCATATTTGTAAATATTGCATTGTAGCTTGCATGCATTCACTGCATCACCCCCATCTATGGCTTGCGCCTTTCCAGGTTGAGCTTGGTCTGGTATGTGCTCATACTTTTCACGTCGAAGCACGGATCTGAGACTTTTGTGTATGCGCCTATTCCACTACTAGTATTGTGGTTTGAGGGTTGCGGCACCGTTTCTGTGTTAGACGCGGTTTGCATGTGTACATGCCTTTCCTGGGCAAGATATGTTTCGGTCGCGTGCCATATCCACTGTATATACTGCATTGTAATATAGTTCGATTGCATCCACAGCATTACCATGCATTTCAAGCGACGCGCGTCGTCGCATATTCGAGTTCACATGCATTTCAAAAGCCGCGCGTTGTCGCGCATTCCAAGATCATTTGCATTGTCATGCATCTCAAAAGCTGCGCATTGTCGCGCGTTTCAAAATCATGCATCATCATGCATTTGCATTTCAAAAAAAAAAAAGAGAAAACAACAAAAACAACATGCATCATTTGCATTTCAAAAAACAAAAAAAAAACATGCATATGTCATGCACTGTAAATAGCATGCATTATCATGCATTTGTCATACATCCATTGTAAATAGTGCATATGTTACGCATCATTGTAAATAGTGCATATGTCATGCATCATTTTAAGTATTGCATATGTCATGCATCCCATTGTATAAACTGCATATGTCATGCATTTCACTGTAAATAGTGCATATGTCATGCATCATTGTAAATAGTGCATATGTCATGCATCATTGTAAATAGTGCATATGTCATGCATCATTGTAAATAGTGCATATGTCATGCATCACTGTAAATAGTGCATATGTCATGCATTTCACTGTAAATAGTGCATATGTCATGCGTCATTGTAAATAGTGCATATGCCGTGCTTCATTGTAAATAGTGCATATGCCATGCATACCACTGTAAATAGTGCATATGTCATGCATCACTGTAAATATTGCATATGTCATGCATTTTACTGTATATATTCCATTCCATCGCATATTTGTAAATATTGCATTGTAGCTTCCATGCATTCACTGCATCACCCCCATCTATGGCTTGCGCCTTTCCATGTTGAGCTTGGTCTGGTAAGTACCCGTACTTTTCACGTCGAAACATAGTTCTGCATGTGTACGTGCCTATTCCACTGCTGGTATTGTGGTTTGAGGGTTGCGGCACCTTTTCTGTGTGAGACGTGGCTTGTTTGTGTCCATGCTTTTCCTAGGCAAGATATGGTTTGGGCCGCAGGCCTTATCCATTGTAAATATTCCATTCCATTGCATATTTGTATATGCTACATTGTAACTTGCATGCATTCGCCGCATCACATCCAGCTATGGCTTGCGCCTTTCCATGTTGAGCATGGTCTGGTATGTACCTATACTTTTCACGTCGAAGCATAGTTCTGTATGTGTACGCGCCTATTCCACTGCTGGTATTGTGGTTTGAGGGTTGCGGCACCTTTTCTATGGTAGACGGACTTTGCATCTCCATCAATCTATTTGACATTTATGTGGTTTTGAACT